ATACATATATAATTTTCTCTTCATTTGATTTTGTGTTGATTTGTTGTTAATTATTCTGAGGTTAATTATACCTAAAAATAAATAAAATTAGAAAATTATTAAATTTTAAATAAAAATCATAAAAAATTAAGATTTTTTAGTCTTTATAAAATATATGAAAAGTTCTTTATAAATAGTATCACGTGAAATTAAGAATAGTATATGGTGTATTAATGTTCATGGCAGCCTTAAGGAGAGTGGGCCTATTCGGCCCGGACCACAAAAGCTTGAATTTTGCCGCATCCCGCGAGGTTGGCCCATATTATTAATTTAAAGCACATATTACTTACAGCGCCTCTTTACCTGTTCCCAAAAACACATTAGCTATTAATCATAACACTGATCACAACTTTTGTTCAGCTGGAATTCATTAGCTACTTTTTATAATATTTAACAATTAACAATCACTTTTTTAATATTTTAAACTTGCTAGGATAAATGGATGGATAAGGTCTGTCTTTCAAACGGATTATCATTCTTGTTTAGTGTTTCACGACAAGTCACCAGCTATTTATTATGAAGTTTAAAATAAAACAAAGAAATAGTTATTAATTAGTGAAATGATTTTTCAATGAGTGAAACGTTTTTTGGCCTACACGTTAAATAGTAAAACGTAAGTGTTAGATGAAATAACTAATGAACTAAAACCAAATGAGCTAAAAGCAACAAGAAATCACTTGAGTAGACCGCTAGTCTGAGTGGGTTATTAGGTTCAATAATTTTCACTTGCTCAGAAACATGTAAGAATCATGAGAAATAAAAAGAAAGTTAATCCCAAAACGGAGAAAGAGGGAAAGAAAGAGAGAAAGAAATAGAGGAAGAGACACAAAAAATAACTTACGGGAAGAGAAGATTCTTGAAAAATCATAATAAAAATTAAGTGAATACCAGAACCGGTAACAAGTGAACTAGTATGGATTACACTTATCCTGTGTAAACTGGAAATAACTCGTGTAATTGTCAGTCTAAGTGGGTTATCAGGTTCAATATTTTTCACTTGCTCAGAACATCTAAAAATCATTAGAAATAAAAAGAAAGTTCATCTGAAAAACGGAGAAAGAGGGAGAGAAGAAGAGAAAGAAAATAGAGGAAGAGACGTAAAAAAAATAACTTACTAGAACAGAAAACTCTTGAAAAATCATGATAAAAATAAAGTGAAAAACTTTTTTTAAAGGCTAGAGAGCATTAAAAGGGGAAAGAAAATATGTTTCAGGTGAGCACTTGAGTTTTGTCATGTGAGATGAAGATAGGAAAATAAGGAGAGGAAGGAGCTCTAATGAGGCGACAATCCCGCATCCAAAATGAAAATGAAAAGATGGAAAAGGCAATGAGTGATGATAGCTCAGAATTAAAGCAGCATCAGTACTTTTTCTTTTTCTTTTTTTGTTTTCCAAGCTAAGTGATCCATTCCCTATGCAAACATAAACTCCATCAGAATTAAAGTCTAGATCAGGATCTTTTGAAGTACAACATATTCTATAATTTCAACGAAACAGAGAGGAGCGAAGTGATATGCATACAGAGGGAGCGGTTAAGCTAGCAGTAGATGGCTCTGTTCTACAGGACGGAAGAAGTGGCTGCGGAGGAGTATTACAAAGACAAAGGGATAATTGGATGTGTGGTTTCAGTTGCAAGCTCACTAATGTGCCCTCCACGATAGCAGAACTGATCGGTATTATTCATGGTTTGAACTTATGCTGGACAAGAGTTTTAAGGAAGTTTCCCTTTACTCTAACAGCTTGGAAGTGATCAACCTTATCACTAGGGGATGTGATGACCGGCACCCTTTCAAGGACATTATTTTGATGATGCTAATTGGTCTTTAACAGAGAAAATGGAAGGTTAACGTGTACCATGTGCATAGGGAATGGGAAATCACCTACCAGACTACCTTGCCAAAGTCTCCCATAATATTGATATTTCCTTCTGGATCCTTGATCAACCTCTCTAGTCCAAAGGCAGAAGGTGATGAAAAAGGTTAGGCTCTGTTTGTTCTTGGTTGTTTTCTTTTGTTGTGCTATTTTAGTCTGTATCCAGTTTTATTATTCAGGAAAAAAAAATATACTCCCTCTTCTCTTAGATAAACAACATAGAACTTTGTTATGTAGAATAAAAGTTAGTTAAAAAAATAAATTAATTAAATTTTTAAAATAAAATCTCTTTATTTAAGAGGGGGAGAATATAAGAAAAAGAATAAGAAAATTATTATAATAGAGAGAACTATGAAAAAGAGAGCATGTGTGATGGAGAGAATAATAATTGGGAATCCAACAATAAATATATTGAATAGTAAATAAATAATTTAAGGGAATAAATAAGTTTGTTTTTTTTTAAGACATATGCAAATGTTGCTTATATTTAGGGACAAGAGAGAAATGATAGTTGTTGCTTATAAAAAGGATAAACAGAGTATTCATTTAAGGGGATATTTTTAAATATTATTTTTATTAAAATATTTTTAATTAAAAATGAATATTTTCCAAATCTTATTTAAATTATATTTTTTAAGTAATCACTGGTCTGACCCTAGATCAGCCCCAACTTGATCCATTGAGCCGTAACTTCCCATCTCGACTGATTTAGTGTTTAGTCTGATTTTTTTTTATTGGTTAAAAGTATAACTACTTTCTATTTTCCATTTCTCTAATTTTTTGACTAAAGTATATATTTAGTTTTTGAATTTTATAGTGGTCTTAATTTGATCTCTTTATTTTAAAAAATATACTTTTAATTTTAAAATTGTTAACAAAAATAATAATATTAATATTTTAAATATTAATAAAATATTTACAAATAACAATATATTAAGTTTAATTTTTAAAATAATTATTATTATTATAAAAAATTATCATTTAAACACAACGATTTTGGTGTTGAACAGCTGAAGATAATATACTCTCTGTGACCAATGGACCAAATTAAACCTTATATTTTTTAAAGGCCATTGCCCCTTTTTGTCGCTAGTATTTTCCATTTCCTTACCTACCCCTAAAAACCTTCCATCCCGTTACCTTCTTCCTCTTCGCCGAGTCTAGAGCATTTCACCAGCGTCATCCTAGAACATTATCCATTTTCTTCCCTTGCAGAGCGAACAGGATTTCACTTCGTCTCAGATTCTTCCTTTACTTCTCTCTCACAAACCTCCATCTCCTCGAATCCGCGAACATCTACTCCTCCTCTCTGTTACTCCATGGCCTATGGCCCTGTTATCGTCGGGGATGGAGTGACGTTAACATGAAGTTGTCAACGTCGCTGGTTAGTATTCTCTGATTCTTCTCTTGTTGCATTTGTGGTTTCTAAATGTAAATTCTAGATATAATTATTTTTGGAAGTGGAATTGTTGCTTTCTGAATTCACACTTTTGGAACTGGATTAGTTACCTGAATCAACAATGAAGAGGAAAAGGACACACGGAAAATAGATGAGGGTATTGTTGATACTTGGTTGTTGAAAAATTTTGATTTTGCCATTAATGCTTTCAACGGACATCTTCAATCCATAAGTAGAGGGTGGGTTGGTTTGGAGGAAGAACATGGTTTCAAGTTTTCCTTGTCTTGTTTTGTTTTTAGATGGCTTAACCATATTTTGGGGTTGCTAGCTGCGTTTTGAGCATCCAAAATGCAGATCCAAACATAAGCTGAAGGTTTGTATGTGTATTGAATGAATGGTAAAGGTGCGAATCTGCTATTCATTTTGTTTTTATCTGTGATTTGGATGCAATTTGAATCCTCACAATGATCTGACATGGCTTTAAATCTGCAATTGAAATGTTGTTTTCTGGAATTTTTTTTTTTTTGACAGAACGATTGTGGAATCTTAACTTTTAATTATACCGTTGCGGTGTTTTTTTCTTTGTCACTTCTGACCATCGTTATAAGGAAGCCAACCAAGCTGGACATCTTATTTCCTTCTTTATCTTCTGATTTAGAGTGATCATGGGAGCTACAGCCATGCAACTCTTCCAAACCCAGGTGACATCGTAAGCGATGCTGTTACATTGTGTAAATGCTCTTTTAACCCCTTATCAGAGGCAAGTTGACACCCACGAAGGTTTTCATTAAGAATGGAAATTTTATCTCATACTTATTTGTAAAGAGTACTCTTTTCAATATTTATTTGATCAAGCTTTGCTCAGAATTGTGGTTAAACTGTATATACAATTTATCTTTTTATTTGCGTAGAAAAGAGGCTATATATTCGACTTATTATGCTCAAAGCTGACAAGTCATGCTACGCAGCTGCCTAGTGGTCAAACTCACTCCACACTTCTCATTCTTCACCCAATACCCAAGACCATTGAATTGCTGGAGATTTCGATGTGGTTCCTCTCGTCTTTGTTATTACAACTCTTGTATCAATATAAAGTGCACACTCAACAACAAATTTTCTTATAGCTTCTTAGGGGACCAGAAATCTCATTTGAGTACTTCAAGTCAGACAGCCGCATCATTAGTTGAGTGCTCTGGAGGAATTACTAATAGACTTTCAAACAAAGCTAAGAGAAAAGCTATCAATGAATCTCCTGAAGGAGTCCTAAGGCATAAGCTAAATAAATGCTCTAAGGATGGGGACATGGTTGAGGCACTTAAGCTCTATGATGAGGCACGAAGTAATGGCGTTGCATTGAATGCGCATCATTATAACATAGTACTTTACCTTTGTTCTTCTCATGCTTCTGTCAAAACAGAAAATAAGAGTGATGAAAATACATTGAATTTAGGCCTTAAAAGGGGTTTTGAGATTTTTCAGCAGATGCTAATTGACGAAGTTGCTCCAAATGAAGCTACATTTACAAGTGCAGCCAGGCTTGCAGCTGCAAGAGATGATCCTCAAATGGCTTTTGAATTGCTAAAGCGAATGAAAAGTTGTGGTATTGCACCCAAGCTGAGATCATATGAACCTGCCCTTTTTGGATTCTGCAAGAGGGGTGATACAGATAAAGCTTATGAAGTTGATGCAGACATGATTGCTTCTGGGATTATGGCTGAAGAGCCTGAGCTTTCTGCTCTTCTAAAACTCAGTGTTGGTGCAAAAAAGGAAGTCAAGGTCTATGAAATGTTGCATCGTTTACGTGCTACTGTGAGGCAGGTGTCAGAATCAACTCTTCAAATTATTGAAGATTGGTTCAACTCTGAACATGCAGCAAAAGTTGGAGAAAAACATTGGGATGTTAACATTATAAGAAAAGGGATTGCTCAGGGAGGTGGGGGATGGCACGGGCAAGGATGGCTTGGAAGCGGGCAATGGAAGGTGGTGAAGACCCATATAACTGATGCTGGTATGTGTCTCTCATGCAGCGAAAAGCTTGTGAGCATTGATATTGATCCAAAAGAGACTGAAAATTTTGCTACCTCATTAACTAGATTGGCTTGCCAAAGAGAAGCTAAGGCAAACTTTAACCATTTTCAGGTATGACACAATATTTTGAGTTGTCTGGGATTCAAAGAAGAATTTCTCTCATCGAACTGAATACATTCATATACTGCTATGTATCAGTTTGTTCTTTACTAGTAATCATTTGCTAGAATCATGAGTAGCATTGATGCATTAGACATGCAGAGAAAGAATTATTCTAAACATTGATCAGAAGTGAGATATAATCCTATGCCAAGTTCGCCAAGAAAGGTCAAATCAGTAAACCAGTACATAATAGGTAACCAAAGTGGCTCAAGTCATGTATGAGAATATGCCTAAAAGAGGAAGGATTATCTAATAGTTTTGATCCCAAACAGATAAATATTTAGAATGCTAAGTTTTATTGGCCTAGTCTTGTTACTTGATAGTATTGGCTTTACTATCATGTTGCATGGAGGTAATCTGTCCCCAGTCATTACTTGTCAGTAATAATGCATTGATACGTATACTCATTATAATCTGGAGTAGAGTAGCTTCTAGGATACATGATATTAGCAGGGAAAGCGACAGTGCATTGGTGTCAGTTGTTAGATTTTTTTTTTTTTGGTTAAGATGAACTTTCCAGGTTCTTCTACTTCAGTTTGTTGCAAAACATTTTAACCTTTGAAATTTCATGGCATTTATTGCATGAGAGCAATGAAAGGGTCATTTTGAACTAGTGACCTACATAGGTGATGCGTAATCAATTGCATGAGTTCTAAACATTGGGGTGCAGGAGTAAACAAGATGTAATCGAACTAATTATTGGAGCAGTTGCCTTGAGGAGAACAATTTCATGGTTTTAGTTGAAAAGCTCCGCTTTTCTTGTGGGCATGCTGTGATGATGGTTTTACACTTTATTTCTTGAGCTTTGTTGTGTATAAACTAGTTAGTCATGATATAGTGGTTGATATAGAAATTTAACTTTTACAGAAGTGGCTTCAGCGACATGGTCCTTTTGATGCAGTTGTAGATGGTGCCAATGTAAGCCTTGTCAACACGCAAAATTTCAGCTTTTTGCAGGTGGGTTATAAGTTGCTAACTTTATTAGCACTTATACCAGAACATCTATTTGACAACTCTTCTCTTGGCTGTAGCTTAATTCTGTTGTGCAGCAATTGCAAGAAATGAGTCCTTCAAAAAGATTGCCACTTGTAATCTTGCATGTAAGTCGGGTCACTAGTGGTCCTGCTCAGAAGCCACATAATAAGAAACTGTTAGAATATTGGAAGAAAAATGGTGCTCTTTATGCTACACCTCAAGGTTCCAATGATGACTGGTAATGGAATGCCCCTTCAGTAGTTAAATTACACTTACTCATCTAATTTCATTATACATTCCTGAGTCTTTCATACCTTTGATCTGTACAAGTACGGGCTGGAACAAATTCTTTTTCCTAATCCGAAAGTCTTTTTTATTTTTATTTTTTTTAAATTTAATTCATAGGTATTGGCTGTATGCGGCTGTTAGCTGTAAAAGCTTGTTGGTGACAAATGATGAGATGAGAGACCACTTATTCCAACTATTAGGTTCTAGTTTTTTCCCAAGATGGAAGGAAAGGCATCAGGTACTTAATATTTCAAGGAATTTCTTATAGATTTCTAGAAAATGCATTCATAATGAGGCTGGTATATGTTCTGTGGGTCTTCTCTACATAAGGTTACTCATGGCCACATTGCAACGAAAAAGATGTAATCATCTTCATCTTCACTCAACTAACGATTTCAGTAATCTTATATGGAGAAATTAGGAGGCCGAGCTTGATCTACTTTGAGCTAATGAAACATGCTTTGTGGTTAATGTAATTACATATGGTTCATTTCCGCAAAATTTGGTTGTCGTTGATTTTGTAACTACACAATTGCCGTCTTGAAGAGCTTGAGGGTTGCAATAGTATATGACTTGTACATCACATCTCTTTTAATGACCAAGGGTTTATTTGTACTTTTGACTCGAAGAGTAAGAGTATTGGATACTTTGATGACTCGCAGGTTAGACTGTTAACCTCAAATAGTCGGCCTTCTCTCATCATGCCTCCACCATATTCAACAGTTATTCAGGTACCACTTTTGTCTTGTTCAATTGATTGATTATAAAATTGTATGTTTTCGCCAATGGCCTAGTGAAGATAGAGAGAGACCATTCGGAATGTGTGATAGTGGGCCTCTTATCAAGTGATCATCCATTTTTCATCGTTTGATGTCATTTGGGTTACAATAAGCATAGAATAAAATAATAGGTTGGCCTTAGAGATCATTCATGCTCGATTCTTGACAAGTTGGGGGTTGTTTTTCTTTTTCTTTCTTTTTTCCCCGCTTTTGACCAAAAGTTGAGGGTTGGTCTATATTTCTCCATTTAGCCATACCCCGTTGTCACAGAGGTTAAATAAGTTTTACGTTGGCCGGACTTAATATAACTCTTTTGTTTGGAATTGGAACCGGATATTATGAAACATTGGCTGATTCTATCCGTACCCCATTTAGAAAATTTTTAAACAGATAACATGGATTTTTTTTGGCATACTTTGTAGATGCTCCCTCGGTTTCATATTATAAGGCAATCTTACCTAATTCATACTCACCAAGAGAATTTTTTTTTTTTTTCCAACTTTAGCATTCTTTAATATTTATCATTAATTGTTTGTTTGTAATGATTAGCAAGTAATTTTGTGATACTCAGCACATTCTAGGTAAAAAGATATCAACTGTCGTTAAAATCATGTAAAATTCTATACATATTGAAACATGAGATTTTCTGCAAAATGCCTTATAATATGAAATAGGGGAAATCATTGTGAGTCCCTAGGAAAGAATTTAACGAGAGTAGCATAGATTTTGTCTGTCATTTTCTGTATTGAAACTTATTAACTTGTTATGAAACTTTTTAATAATTACATTGCTTGGAATCACATGCTGATTTTCTCTAGAGTATTGGGAGTAAAAACTTTTTCATGGAAGGGAAGATTGACACTTGTGGCTAATATAATTAACTGCAGGAATCAGACAATGGTAGTTGGCATGTGCCAACTGTGAGTGATGATGATTATGAGACCCCAAGGCAATGGTTGTGTGCTACCAGATCCAGAAATGTATCATCACTACGTCAATTGTGGACTTCTTCCTCTACATCCATGGCTGCATAGGAAATGGGGTTTGTGAAGTCTTTCAATTTTGGTTCCAGCTCTGAGAAATGAACGATTTAGATTTTTTTTTTTTTTGGTTAATTTGTTATTACAAATTTAGTATCTTTAATTTAGAACGATATGTAAAGTAAACATTTTTTTAAACTATTTTTGTTGAAATTAGATTTTAATTTTAAAAAATTAAAAATGCGAAAACCCGGACCGGAGCTGAAAACCGGCAACCCAACTAGCTCGGAGAAAAAATGAACTGGTGTGACTCAGGACAACCTAGAGGAAACCCGGGTAACCTGTTGGGTTGTTTCGGTCGCCGGTTACTTAAAAGAAAACATAAGAGGAAAGGGAAGAAAAAATGCTGGATTCAGGTTTAGTTCGTCTTTCCATCGCTCCCACCTTGATGCTTGGCTTAGTAGATACTTTTTCAGTGTTTAATATAGGGTCTAATTGTTAAATTATTTTTAATTCTAAATATAAGACTTATTTCTCATATTTATTAATTTTTTCTAAATTGTCCTTATGGATACTCCCTCAATCATAATCAAGTAAGAAAAGAAGGATATTAAGAAAGATGATTATAGTATTTTAGAAAAAATATTATATTTTTTATAATTAACTAACTTACCTAACTCTTTTAATTTAATCAAATTAGTTAAATAGGTCTTATATTAAGAATTAGAGGAGTAGTTAAATAGCATTGCCTCTGGTTTTAAGTGTAAACCCGAGACACTATAGAAGAAGAAGAAAAAAGGGGAATAAAAACAAGATGAAAGAAAAATATAGATGAAGAGGGGAGACGGAGGAGAAAGAAAGATGAAGAGGTGATGAGAGAATCAATACGAAGAAGACGAAGCTGTAGGAAATGAATATTGAAGAGACATTTTGAAAAAAATAAAATAAAAAATCAAGTTAACATTAAAAAACCCATGGATATTTGTAGTTTTGCTAGCACTAATTAATGCATCGAGTCGTGTGAATGAGGAGCAGGAAAGCCAAGTTTGAAAATAAAAAGGTAAAATATACTAACTGCCTATCAGTTTTACTCAAGTTACAAAAACTCTCATCTAGTTTGAAAATGCACATAAACTTTCTTTAAAAGTAAAATGCATATTAGATAAATCTCTTGTATATTTGAAATTCCATTTCCATTGACTGACTTTTAAATTTTTATTTTATTAAAATACTGCTCCTTAACATAAAAGTTCTTTAAAGATTTATATTTGTCAAAAAATAAATTTTAATACATGTATTTTCAAACTTTTGAATATATAATAAAATTTATTAATTTTGATTATATTATAAAATTTTATAATTTTAATTTTTCATCCCAAATATTGAAACTTATTTATTTAGGTTTCTTTTAAATAGCTACAAAATATATTAAATACATATTTTTTATCATATAATATAAGTTATCGAAGTTTGAGAGAATATAGAAATTATTTAAATTCATAATTTAAATTTTTTGAATAAAAATTTTGTTAGAAATTTTTATAACTTATTATTTATTTAAAAAATTAATAAAATTTTCATTCTAGTTTTTTATGTCTACATTAACTAAATTATTTAATTTTTATCCCAATATGATAAATATTAAATATTTATTTTTAAAAATAAGAAATTAAGGAAAAGGAAAAAAATTAAATTCTTTAAAACTTTTTAATCAAAATTTAGGGATTTTGTATTATGAAGGGTAAATTAGTAAATAAAAATAATTTTAATTTAAATTCTAATTAAAAAGTTATCTTTTTAGAATATTCTTAATGAAATTAATAGTTTAAATTTAAGTGTATGTTTTCAAAATAAAGGACAGGTCCGTATAATTAGAGCAAAATCTAGGGGAAGTCAGAATATTTTACTCAAAAAAAAAAAAGATCAATATAGAGACAATATAATCTTTAAAAATTTATTTTTAGTATTATTTTCATTTAAAATAGTTAATATATATTTAAAAATATATTATTTTGATCATGACAGTTTAACTCCGAATTGACTTCGATTTGAACTACTAATCCTTGAACTAGTTTCTCAATCGGTTCAATGACCGATTCACTTTTTAGTACCTTGTTATATATACACACATGTTACTTCCTGCTTTTAATATAGGATCTCTTTAACAAATTTGTGTAAATTAAGAAAATTAGTTGAATTAATTATTTGTCAAAAATATATGTTAATTTTTCTAAAATATCATTAAATCATTTGCATTAAAAACTAAAAAGGGAATTGTTGCAAAGTCCCTTAGCATGGGTAACAAAAGGAATAGTTTGAAAAAAATAGATTAATATAGAGACAAAATATATTGAGATTTTACATTTAGAATTCAACTTGATCCCTCAATTAACTCTTGTATTTTGAAATTTATAAGAGTGTGCATGTGTATTTTAAAAACTAATAATAGCAAAATAACAAATGTAATTAAAGAACCTGATTTAATGGATATAAATGATTTTTAAGTTTTGTCCATCAATAAAAGTAGGTTTTGATTCAAATAATTTGAAGTTAAACTTAAACACATTTGATAGTTCCATTAGTATCAAATGATATAATTTTTTTTTAACAATCATTATTATTATTTTGAAAATTAAACTTGAACACATTTGATAATGTTTTATCAATATTTAAATTTTAATGTCAAACATTTTATAAAATTACGGGATCAAAATAAAAACATGTGTAAAATTAAAACTAAATGTGTATTTTTGTGATTAATTTACATTGTTAAAATTTGACATGAATGTTCAAAACTAAGGGGAGAGAAATCGGACTTGTTACACACTGACACATTTGTAAGAGGATAAGACATTAATAGAGTTCAGTCTCCACCTCTGTAAGACTCACATTTCTGGGAAATCATCAGCAAAGAAGATTGCTTTGTTCCAGCTATGACGGAATTAAATAGGGGATGAACAGCACATGCAGTTACTCCTTCAGATAAAGGAACAAATCTGTTCTGATTTTTCCGGTTGTTCACCCCTGACATTTCCTGAACATCCTCCCTGAAAGAGAGTTTAAAACTGGTAGTTAAGGGGGCAACCAAAAAAAAAAAAAAGACATGGAGGATACATGGAACTAGTAAATTATGACAGATGAAGATATGTTCATAGGTATGAAAAGATGCCAAGATAAAGAATTCTTATATGTATGTATATGTAATCTCAATCATATTTTACAGCAAGACAATGATTGAGATGAAATATTTTCTTCTTTCCTTAATTTAAGTCCCAATTTTCAGCTTTCTTTTGTCCCTAAATTTACGTCCTAATACAGAGAGTTCTAGATGTAGTCAATGCATGTTCCCAAAAAATACCCCTTGCAGAAAATCTGAATTACCTATCCCACCCTTGATATCTAAAAAAATGCACTATTTTTCATGACATTTAAGGGCGAGAATAGAAATAAAAACTAATTTTTACATATCACATAGATTTTAATATTTTCTTGATTTGTGTGTTTTTCAAAATTAAGAGTTTATAGTAAGGGACAGGGTAAATATGAGTTTATCTTCTCAATGTTGCAGTGCCTTACTTGAAATCCACATGGCTTGATGAGCTAGTGCTGGGATAGAAATCCAGGAGATGAATGCCAGAGTCCGATGACGATCCAACCACATAGATCTGCACTTGGTTACAGCATATAAATGCTTATTTCATGTTTTCGTGAGCCTCCAACCAAAAAAAAACAAAAAATAATTAAGAGGAAAAATGACAAAGAAGACATCTGTAGGAAAATAATAACACTCAGTTGGAAACACGGCAACTTGTAAGAATTGAAAGCCTAATTATAAAAATCGAAAACTCAGTGGTAAATACTCAAAACTCCATTTTTTCAGATTTCTGTGCGTTCTAAAATCTAGAAATTTTATTACATATCATAAACAACAATGCAGTTGTAAATCACGAATCGTGGAAGAGTAATCATTTACAACTTTAGCTTCCAGTTTTTACCATTGTTCTACTGGTTTTTAAAAGTTTATGTTTCCAACCAAGTAGGGGTATTTCGTTCCATAGAATTTCTTTTCTCAAAATCAGAAAAGGATCATGATCCTCAGTTGTCGTTTCATGAATTGAGGGTCCTTAAGTGTCATAAAATACAAAGGAGATGTTAGCACTATGAAGAAAGATTGAAGAGAACAACACATATGCAACAAGAAAAGTAAGTCAGAAATTCTTACCGAACACGTGGACAACCATGAAGGTTTTCTTATATATGATGGCTCAGCTGAAACGTAAGAATCATTTCTAACAAGAATGAACAGTAAATGCAAAATGATTAGATTTCGTGCGGAGGGCGTTTTGATAAACTTCAAAAGAACAATTCAAGTTATGAACTTACAACCAAGCAGGCGGAGGGCAATGAATATGCGTAACTCTGGGATTATAAATATCCAGAACGCCTGACCTACATCAAATTATCAAGGAATATTTAACTAAAATCAGAAATGATGGAAAAATAATTACTTCATAAAATTCAATATAAAGTAGCAAAGCTAGATCTATATCATCATGATATCAAATACACAATTCAAGACAATGCAAGGGCTGTTAAGAAATGGCAACGTTATTTTTATTGAGTGATTCGATAAGTGATAACAATATAAAATCACGAGTTAATGCCTTCATCCTTGATAAAAAATATACTACCTCTGGTCCTAATTATAAGACCCAGTTGACTTATTTGAAGAGATTAAGGAAGTAAGTTAAGTTAGTTATTTGTAATAAATAAGTGTTGTCATTCCTAAAATATCCTTGCTAATTAAGTATATTGGCTAGAACTATCATTATTAAAAGGATTATCTTGAAAAAAAATGCATAAATATGAGAGACAAAATGGATTGGGGTCTTATAATTAGGACCAAACAAAAAGTCAAATAGGGTCTTATAATAAGGACCGGAGGTAGTACTTTCTTCGTATAAAATGATGCAAATTCTCAAATCAAGCACTTTGAAAAAATTATCCTGGTGATGGAAGAACGTCTAGGACTCTAGGCGGTATATAAGGAACAGTTGGCTGTTATAACTAATATTTAGTTCATTTATAAGTAGTCTATAAGATTTTAAAGAGAATTTATTTAAGATTCCATAGACGCTAATTTGTTCCTCTTCCTTTCCTTTCTTTTCTTAATTACATTTGAAAAATGCCAATTTCCTAACTTACCAGCCATCATCAAGGTGGAATGCCAACTGATACGGGCAAGATGGATCAAGATTGATGGAGTGTATCTCCTTTGGAAGAACATCTGATTGCGCCTGCACAACAATATTTGTGGTTTAGCATAAGTATGCAAAATCAATAGTTGTGTTGTATGATCCCAGCATCTTATTATATTCCATAACCTGGTGACCTCAGCATTTTCTTTGACCATTAAATAGTTACATTTTCTATAAAGCAGTTTCATGAAAATTGAAATCTTCATTTAGCATTTACTTGTCATTTGTCAGTGAGAACGTGAAACATTAAATAGGCACATTGCTGAATGCCGGAACCCCCGATAAGACAAACCGAGGCATTTATTTTTCTCTTGTTATAACCAGTGCATAGCACATTGCTGGCGGATATCAATTCCTTTGTTACGATACTTGTCACAACTTTTCATTTTGTATGTTGATTCAATATCTAAGATGATGTCGATGCTCTGTCAATACATTGCTTCTGCAACGGAGGATCTTGTCTCATTGTCTCTGAGGGCCTTATCACTGCCTTGTAAGGTGGCATAAGGGTGGGACCCACAAGAGCCACTGTTACCACTATAACAAACTCTTCGAGAAGCAGGGCAGTGTTCAATCACATCACCAAGATCCAACTGGAAGATCTAGCCAGTGTTGCCAATTTCCTAGGTTCTGACACTGGGGCAAGGCGGATTTTCAACAGGGGAGTATTGATAGAGTTCCACATGGACAGTTGGAGTAACAAAAGGTCTAGAACAGGAGGAAGCAGTAGAGAAGCGGCAATTCAGGATAGCACAAAACTAGCGGTAGTGAGAAACGAAGTGGGAGAGGGAGTTACCTGTGAAGCACGTTGCGGCAGTTAACAGCGGTTATGGAAGGCTTGTAGTCGAGTGTTTAGGCGTATATTGATTCAGTTATTAAGTTAGGGTTTAATTATCAATTTGTACTTTATAAATAGATGCAGCGTTTACATAGGAGGCAGCTTATAATTTGTCCTGTACTGGAGTCTTCATTGGGGTTAATAGAATAATTAGAGTTATAATAACAGTGATTTTCAGACTCAGGCACTATTTATCTCTAATAGCTTTCTATTTTCCTAGCTTAATTCCCTCAGCATATATTAGAGGTAAACTGGCAGGCTGATTTGAAGGGGGCCGTGAGGTATGGTTGTGAGAGACCAGTTAAGCGTTCCGGACCAAAAGGGAGAACCTTTCTTGGCTCAAACATTAAAATGACTTGGACTGATATTGAGCCTGAGGGTAATGAATTCCTATCTTACAGAAACAAGATAAAAGTTATATATGTACAGATTTTAAAATTATAAATCTGTATCAGCCTCGCAGTAATGAGGAAGAAGTGTTACTCCATTTTTATTTTATAAAATGACAAAAATGAGGGCGAGGAGTATTACCTTCAGAGATTCGATCTTCTCCATCAGTGAAGCCAATTTCAACGATGTCATGGGTGGATGACATGCCTAAACAGAAGTTAAATCAGAATTAGAAAGCTAAATGTTATAAAATACATCTCGCAATTGATTTAGCAAACAAATCAATGCCTCATTAAACCCCGCAACAAAAGTATATTGGGCAAGCATCTTATGCTGCAAAACATGGAAGGGGGATGATGTTATTAATACCACAAACGCATAAATTTATGTTCTACAGCAATTAAGATGTCACAAGCTTATATCTAATAATCTATCAACATCCAAAATACGCAAGAGCAAGGAAGTATTTTGATAGAAGTAATATATCTAGCGACATTCAGATCCTTATAAGACTCACGATGGACTGATTTGATTACCATATAAGAACTCATTTGTGTTTCATATAAGTCTTTATCGCAAAACTAAATTTAAAATGTTCAAAACTTGTGGGAGCTGTTGACTTGAGTAGTATGATGTATTCTCTTTCTCACCTCTGAAAGACCTAATTAATTTCAAGCAATATTGTTGATTATATCATAAAGTCACAGACATAAGAACTGACTATGCGTTTTAGCTCGTATGTAATTTGCTCTAGCCACTAAAGGGCCTTGGCTCTTCGCTTCTTTCTGATTCTCCCTTAAATATGATGAATATCAATTAACTATATGTAGTTACACAATCTCAGCTACAACCTCTTTGTGACTTTGGAAAGTAGCAGATGCTCTTCCACCCCGAATATCCCACACGTACACTATACCATGCTTCCCACCGCCAAAAATGATCTGGAATATGGGTAACACTCTGTTAATAATTTCTCAAAGTATTATATATACAGAACAAAATTGAATAAGACATATATCAAATGCTGGGGAAATCCAACCGATATAAGTGCAATTTCATGTATGTTATCGACTGGAGTTTTGCAAGACCGTCGTTGTGCATTAGTTTTGTTGGGCAAAATGAAGGGTGCGTATGGTTCAAAATACCCAGATTCTCAGGACTTCAAAATTGAAATACAAGTTTTGAACTTTGAGATACACATGCCTACTTCTGGAACTATTTCAACTCAATCTATGCTGGAAAACTTCTAGAAGCATCAAAAGTTGATAAAATCATAAAAAACACAATGATATTGTAGAATGTAGACATAACACTCAACCTGATTTTCTGCATTTAATTGGATGCTGTTAAGCAGACCAGAGGAACTAGATGCAAGCTCGAGACAAGGGAGAGCTTTCACTCTTCTATCCCATACATTGATTCCCCCGTGTGTATCAGAAGCAAGTATCCTGGTGAAAATAACCAAAAAAGCTTAGAACTGCAGTGTCAGAACTATAATTGATTGGTCTTACTACTATTGGTAATCCTGCCTGGGAAAAACAATTGAAGTGGTCTAAGGAAAATATAAAACAAAAGATCTTTTAAGAGCATACAATCAGTCTATCTCTTCTCCAGCGACGGGGGTTCATAAGTCAGAACAGATAACTTGTTAACATCCCAAATTGGAAGGAAACGCCTTGGTGCTTTCTTGCATAATGTCAAAAGTAAATGAATAAATAACTTGATGAGTCATGAACGATTAGGATTTAGCAAAAACGGAAAGTCATGTTTCTCAAAGAGATGTAAAGACCCTCAATTAAATATTTCAAGCAAACTATGTTCTCTCTTGAAGCACATTTACTAAAATGAGAGAGATTACAGAGTATGAAACATCATCATAGAATGCTTCGAAACTATTATGATTGTGCAAGAAAGACAATCAAACTAAGGGACAGGAGAGCAACATCCATCATCAGTCAAAAAAGCACATACCATTACTTCTGTTGTTATGATAGACTTATTAATAAGTCAGTTTGATATGAAAACAAGAAAAATGGCAGAATATCTTGTCAACAGAGCCATGTTTAATTACACGTTTAGACATTGTAACTACTAAAATGTGCGGCATTGTATCACAAATTAATTAAGTACATCAGCACACGCAGTTGCTGTCATCTTAATAAAAAAACAAAAGTAGTTTCACTAAATCAAGGCCTCACTTACTCACTTGGAGTCATTTAGCATAAGGGCAACGTCAGATAGACCTTTGTGAATGCCAGATCCATGTACTGTGGCCGTTTGTCTTGTTCTTAACACCTGTATGATATAATTCAGAACAAAAGGTCACAATTGTGATCTGGACATGCTAAACTATTATGACCAATTTGATTGTAAGTTGACAGAAGAAACATGTTTTGATATATGAAAGATATACGTCAGAAAAAATAACATCAATGTCTGCAACATCCAAGAGTAAAGAATAAGATTATATGAGAGAAGGGACTTACTTCAACTGGTTCAGAAGTGATATAACCAACATCAAATATAAGTACTTCATTACTTTTTACAGACGCACAGACAACCTAAAATGGCAAAATATGTAAGAGCCTATGTACACATTAACTTCACAAAGTAAATGGTTCTGATTTATCAGAATACAACTGAGGAAAGATAAAGTTAAAACCAAAGCCATTTCTGTAATGTGTTAGATGTGATTTGAGTAAATTATCTTCAATCATAATCTTGAATGTACAATGCTGAATAAGAATAAATGTTGACCAAGTCAAAACCTCATCCTGGTTAGTTGGATTCCATCTCACAACATCAAGTTGCCGGTTTAGTGAGAGATGCATTACATGCTTGCTTTCATCTTCTTCCAAGCCTAGCAGGAAAATTAATGAAAGAATAATAATGACTACAGCACAATTGTCTTCTAATGTCCTAGAATGCATGAAATAAAGGATTTGGCTAGCAGAGAATGGACAATTTTGTTCCTTCGACAGTATTTTAGAAATTATTAAAAACAGAAAACTGCTAAAGAACTTACATGTTAACTCATGTATCCGGCAATATAGAGATTCGAAATCATGCACTGTTAAGCAACCTGATTTTGTCACAGAGACCAAGTATATTCCCTTGAATACAGGCCAAAAATAGCATGAATGGATCATTAAAGTATTGAAAAAACAGAGAGACAACAAAATAGCAGCAAGAATGTCATGAAATTAACTGCTTGCCTTGCAATAAAAAAAAAAAAATTCACTTAATAGATCATATCTGTAATTATAGATGCAAGAAATATAATTCAGTTTATGAGAAATTATGGTTAACAAACAATGATCAGCTTGTCAACATCCATAAATATTTCAATTTAGTGTCATAGGCTTCAACGTTTGATCAACCAATTGAAAATTTGCAATGTTGTTCCAATGCTAGTTCAATCAACAATTCACTTCGTTTTTTTTTTTTTTGGTCACATTTCGTGATTTCATGATTGCAAAGGTAACTACTTGCTTATACATTACCTTATTGTCAAAGTCTACCGCAGAGATGCCTTGCCTGTTAGAAAACAAACTTAAGTTATTTTTAATATTGAAAATCATCACTGCAGACAACACCAATGATTTAAGCAGTTGAAAGGATGTTGCACATTGATCAGAATGAATTTCATCAGACAGAAAGAACTGGAGACTGACTTTCTAAATGACACGTTGCGATCAATATTTGCCTCACTTGCAAGTCGATGCATCTGAAAAGCGTGACCAAGACATTAGCTAGACATAAATCATGGAAGAGAAAGAAATTAATTTGTAGACTTACTAGAAGGAAACTTCATGACTTTAATAACGCATACATGAGATTGGCAAGGCTGTCCATTTCCATTCACATGATATAAATGCGGGAAAGCCCCAACCTTGACAGAATTAAGCATTGCAGATTAAACTTCAGCTACGAGCAATTTCAAAGATTACAAAAAAAAAAAAAAAACAAAAAAGAAGAAGAAGAAGAAGACGAAGAAGAAGAAGAAAGACTAACTTAAAGAGAAACCTAAACAGAATTTGTCGCACCTCAGAATAGGAACGAATTAACAGATCAAGCATCTGGTGTCGGTAACTAGGCTCGAATCTTCCATTTACTTCTACGGACTCCCTTTTCCAAATACGCCTTTCAACCAAAACAAGATTTCACAACAATTGTAGACTACATAAGAAACTTCAGTATAAGCGGAACAAATTTACCTTCGAAAAGTACGAGCACTCTCGGTGGAGGATTTGGAATGGAGTAAATATTTGTCCATTTTTGCTGGCGCGCGAACCGAGAAGTGAGTGAGAGAGAACTGAGTGGATATTGGGGTCAGGGTGGCAGTACGGGGCATCGACCAAAATTGGCGGGAGAAAGTCATCCCGGGAAAATGACGCAGATCACCTACATTGCGGTCTACCGCGATGCGTCTCAATGCCGATCTGCACCGTACGTATAATCTAACAGCCATGAATTTGTCACGCGATCTTTTTCCCCCCAAATTAGAGGGGCAGACTATGATATCACAAGGTTACAACTAGAATAGAGCCCACTATCAGGCAAAAAAAAAGAAAAAAAGAATAGAGCCCACTAAATTCATTTTTTTACAAAAATAATAAATAAATTATTATTTATATTTTAATTATCAGCATACAAAATAAAAATTTCTTAAAAATATAAAAATAAAAATAATATTGAGTATAGACCATTTAAATAAAATTTATATTAATAAAATTTAGATATGTGATAAGTACTGTCTTGATGAGCATGAGCCCATTTATTACCAAATCAAGTTACTTGAAACAATGCTCAAGGAGTAAACTTTTGATATCCCTTATCAAACAAAAGAAGGTAAACTTTTTATATCACTTCTCTTTAATTATTTGGTGGAAGTATTAACTAGGGCTACACAAAGACCGGGTTGGACCAGGTTACATCCCAGTCTGAAGTATGGTTTGAAAAATGACCGGGTTGAAAATTTTAGTTCGAAGACCAGTCCAATCTGGTTAGAGCCAGGACTAAGACCGAGTTGGACTTGGTCTACCTGGTTACCAGATTGGTCTAGGTTGCTTTTCTATTTATATTTTTTTTAAAAAAAATTCAGTGCATATTTTTAGCTACAAAAATAATACATTCTGGAACTAAAATAAATTACCCACATTGAAAAGAAACTAAAACATATAAGAAAGGTAGGAGATGTTAATGCGAACTTGAAGATCATAGTTGTGGGAATGGAAGATGCAAACTGGTAGATAGCAACAATAGATGCAAATTGAAGATGGTTTTTGTTGGCGAGCTAAGGCAAAAACTAATGCCAGAAGAATTTGATGGTGTTCACCGAAGACAGTAGATGGGTTCGTTCATTGACGTTATTAGGTCCATTTTCGATGGAGAAGGAAACGTTATTCTGCAAGAGAGAAAGGGACGAGCAACGACTGTGTAGAAGGAGAGAAAGGAACAAGTGAGAAATAGATTAAGGCAAACACTAAATTAATTATCTATATATTTTTGAAAAAAAAATCTGCCTGGACCGGGTCAGACTACATAGTCTGAACCATTAGTCCTTAACCCGGTCTTACCCGATAGTTTAGTCTGGCCCAATTAGTCCTGTCCTATTGTTGGGTTGTATTTTTCAAGAGCAGGTTGGATCGGACAGACCGGGCTCATTTTGATCCAATTCCATTTCCACATCTAGGTTGTTGTCTTGGACATAGATTGTAGTTGCATTGAAATTTTTTTCCAATTTTTTGATGACTATGCAGTGAGCATCTTACTTCCTCTCAATTCTTCTCTCCTAACTTGTAGAAGTAAATTTTTCCTAACTTAATACTCCATCTAGCTCAAAATATAAGCATCAAATTTTTCAAAGGGTTTCATTTTTTTAATAAGATGCAATTTATATTTATCTAATCATTTAATGTATTTTTTTATTTTACCTTTAATTAATTATATGTCTCTCTCATTTCTTTCCTTCTTTTTTTGGCTTATTATCTCTCATCTCTTGTTCTACTCATTATTCTCTCTTCCACTTACCCTCTCTATAAATACAGGTGCTTTAAGAAAATAAGTTACATTTTTTACATATATGTTGTCTTTAACTAATTTTAATCAACTTTTTGAGTTGTATGATTTTGTTCCTTTTTTGCTTTTTTTTTTTTGCTATTAGTTTTTTTCCTTATTTGAGGTACTGTCGGATACTAAATATGGATATCTATCCTAGTGAGAATTCGAACATTGATTTGTCATATTATAAGAAACTAGTTCTTTTCGCTAACCCAACCCAACCCAAGTTGATATATTTAATGCTTATATTTTGAATTGGAGGAAGTATATATGTAAAAAGATGTGGCCAACTTTGCAATGCACCACCATAAATTACCACGAATACAGTAGGTGGCCTATGATTCAGATCCACAGCAAAAATTTGAAAGGAGAACTACACACAGGTCCCAAGTAAGACATTTTATTATTTTAAGGTCCCTTGAAATCATTAAATATATCTGATGTCCCAAGGGACTTTATAGCAAAAAATTTGAAATGTTCAATTACCTTCTTGCCCTTTCGATTAAAGATACAAATTGAAGGATGAGGTTCTCACTTCCTCTTTCAAATGTCGTCTTCATGAAACATTCCACATGCCGTCACTCTCTGCTCTGCACTCCGTCTCTCTTTCCTCCGACGCCTTCAATCTCTTATACGCATTGTTGCTCTCTCTACTAACACCCTCAATCTCCAATAAGAGTCTTTATCTTCTCTTCTTCAAAACCTCTCTCTCTTAGAATATTTTTGCATTTCGAGCTTCTTGCTTATATTTTCAAAGATGTTTGATTTTGAATGTTTGAATTGTGGTTCTAATTTTATTTTTTCACCAATAAAATAATAAAGTTTTTTTTTTGCTTTTAATTCATGTCCTTTAAAACGAAACTAGTTCTACTATCAAATTTTATTTTTCTGGTGTGGACTTGTTCTATTTATAGAAATTCTTATATGACAGTATGACTCAGAGCTAAATTATCCATGATTTATAATCAATACAAAAATTATTAGAGTTTTATACCGTTGTGGGGAATTTTGTCTTGCACTTATTTTGTTTTGAAAATTCCTGTATGGCTATAAAGCAAGGATCACTCCCTTCGTTGACACTAGATGAGGCCTTTGATATGTACTCTAAAAGGTATATACTCTAAAAGGATTCTTAGGTTTGGTCCTCCTTGGAACCACATGCTGAGATACTAGAATGAAAGCAAGGAGAGACCCAACAAGGTTGTTCTTGGAGCATGAGGATCAAAAAGAAAATACAACTGGATAGCTAAAGAGAGTTGCAGGGTTATTGGGCTACCCTTTTAGCTTGGATGGGGGAGAAAGAGGTGAGATTGATAGCATCATCAAGTTCTATAGTTGAGAAGATGAAGGAATTGTAGGTAAACAAATCTAAGACTAACACTAAGAACTTTGAGAACAAGCATTTGTTTAATTAGGAAGGCTAAAATTAGAGACGAGGTTAATTACTTGTCACCTTCTATGGTGGGCTCCATGGTGGAGAGATTATCAGAGTTTTTGTTAAGTGTGAACTGTCTTAATAATTTGGTGATAAGATGAGAAAGAAAATCGGTTGTTGGATATAGCACCTATTGGCTTTATACTGCACTAACCAATAAACAGAAATTCATTCTGATAGATTGATTTGTGATCCAAATGTACTATTGTTTACTGGTGTTCATTTCTTTGAATCATCCAAAGTGATATATTTTGATTTTGTTGATTATTGAATAATTTGATAGCCTTGTTGACACTTTGATATAGAGGGACTATATCGAACCAGTTAAAAACAAGTATAAGATGGAATGAGATCCCAAGAAAACCTGCTTCTTGTAAACCCAAACACAAAAAATCAGACGAACGATTAAAGTAGGACCATAAGAGAACATGTCCCGTACAACCTTAGCCATGAAAATACTACAAGGTTGATCAATCCCTTGATACTGTCAAGTATTCTTACGAGAATATGACGATGCAAGCAAGGCTCACACAAAGAGAAATGAAATTCTCATACTATTAATTATTCAAATCATCTCTCCCTTTAAAAAGAGTACACATGAATTATTTATAAACCAAGACTCTTGAAAACCCTAATTGATAACCTAAGCCTTGAAAGCCTAATATAAGCTATTAGAGCATAAAACATTAACAAAATAAAATGCATAAAAAATATATGCAAGAATACAATAAAAGTAGGAAAATCAAAAGACCTTCTAGAATACTCTAACTTGCTAGTCAAGATAAAATAATCTAAATCACACACTACCTAAAAGGATCCATCATTAATGAGAAGGATCTTATTTGACTCTCTACTAATTAATCAAATACAAAATAAGTAAGTCTTGGCTCTTAAAAAGCAAACAATACAAAATAGGAAACTGTAAAATAGGAAACTAATTAAAACAAATAGAATACTAATTAATGCCATATAAGATCACTCTTGATACTTCTTGAATTTTTTTAGACCTTCCAAATGGATCTTCATAATTGCTATTCATGTCCATAAGCATGTATGGGCCTTTTAGACATCAATTTTGGGCTTAACTATGATTGAATCATGTTCTAGAACTCCCATGGTTCATAACACAATGCATTTGAGTCCCAATTTAGAAGATTATAGCTCCAATAGACTGCTCTATACACATATAATTGTGTTGGGCCTTTAATAAGATAAGAATTGACTTTAAATGCTCCTTTTAGGCTTTTAGAATGTGTTCTTGTCATCCTCAAGGTCCAAGTGTTAATACTCGAATGACTCACATGCCATGATGGCTTTCGGGGTGGCCTTCCATATGTCATGTTAAGCTCCGCATGTGTCCATGTCATCATCCAAGCAATGATCCATGTCCTCTTCCATATAAGCATTCTCAATTTATAAATTCCTTGAGTACTCTAGAGGGCTTGTTGGGCCTCTAACTGAATAAGTGCTATTTCAACTTCATGACCTCTACATTGAATGCCTCCTAGTATGCTATTATTCTCTCCCTCTTTGAAAAGATTTGTCCTCGAATCTTGACCTGAATCAAAAAGGAAGAAATTAAATTTTTCAAAAATAATATAAACACAAAACTAACCAAATGGAGGAATCTTGTAAGTAAAATCATGGGTATTTCAAGATCTTGAGAGGGATCTTGATTCTTTAGATTCATTTGAGGAGACTCGAATTTAGAAAGCTAATGAAACTTGCTTTGGGTCAAAAATCTTTTCTTTCTAACATGTATCCAAATATAAATGATTATTTGAATCCCTTGTGTAACTACATAATAACCTAAAGCAACAACAAAATCCAAATAACAAGAAAGCCTCGTAACCATAACTTGAATGTAATAAGAACACCTATGAACAACAAAGTTTATGTAACAATGACAATTCAATATGTGAAGTTCAAGGCATCTTAAAGATAGGAAGTTATTAGTAATAACAAAATTTACG